GAGCCTGTTGCCCCTTCATAAATTTTGGAGTTTATTACCTTTCTCCACTTGGTGATCCAGACATCCCATTAGAGTTACAGAAAGCATTAAAGCATGTACCACGCATTAGAGGGGAACCAGTGTACCACAAATGTTAAAGCAAAAGCATGACATTTTATTATAGTGTGAGGCAGTGTCAGTTATCCGAGTACCAATCTTCACTAAAGCCTTTAAGCTTCTAATAATAATTTGTGCACTCCTTAATTTAAAACTGGCAAGTTTTGATATTTGCTGATTTGAGACTTGCAGCCTTCAGTAAAAAAAAGTGTTAGTATATACAAGTCCTGTGTCTTTCATTAGTAATAAAAAGTTTATTTAAAATGTATTAAAAATTACTGAAAAATAATTAACCGTGAAATTTTAAGCCTTATATTGTTCCCATTCAAGCAAGGGGATTCCACTCAAAACTCATCTCAAAAAGAACAGAAGAATGATAAATACTCAAGATGACTTACCATGCTCAGGTGTCCTGTTAATTTTGCAGTAAATGGCATGTTATGCAAGTATGATATCAAATTTTTGTTAAAAACAGCTTCCCCAGATCAGTGTTATTGTGCTCTTCGTATAACAAACAAATCTTACCACAATTGCTTCATGAACAATGGGTTAGAATCATAATCCCCAAGTTTGTCTATGGGTTTTTAAGAGTTTCGCAGGTACTCCACCAGCTGGTGTTTAAGGCAAAGAAACTGGCATTCCTACCAGAAGCTATGTGCCGTAAAATATTGAGAAAGCGCTCATCAAATGGTTGGAGATAATTGTAAAAATATGGGATGGGCATTTTGCAGGTTCCAGCGCTGAAAGTCGGAACGGTGCAGGAGCAGTGTTGTAGTCTGGTGGGACCCCTATTTGCTTAAAGCAGTTGTACCGCTTGCATCCAGCCAGCTTTGTGCTGGCACTCTCATGTGAAGCTTCATTGCTTCTTACCGGAGTGAGCGTGGAAAGCTTCAGCGCTCTGCACCAGCGCACTTGGAAATGTGGTTGATGCGGAGGAGCGCCTTGTTTCATTCAATACATTCAGAAGTTTACTGGCCTGGGTGCTTGATATGTTCTTAATCACTTTTTAAATGTTCAAAAGTGGGGGGTGGGCACCTATTGCGATATGAGCACATGCTCATAATTTTATGGCACATGGAATGGCAGAGAAAAAAATGTAAGGCTAATACTTTGCCTATCATAATGGCGGGTAGTAGAAATGCATTGAAATGATGTGTTATGCGTCACGGAAAGTTAAAAACATGAATGGTTAGTAGTGACTACTCCTGCATTAGAAGGAAGAAGGAAGTGCAGAAAGGAAGGCAAAGAAGTTAACCTGGGGCATTTTATGCTGCATTAGGTAAGTTATAGTAAAGTTTATAAAACACAACATTTTAGAAACAACATGCCTCCTATAATTTATACAATTTTCGTCATGGCAACATACCCCCCCCCCATACACATCCCACACATTTAAAACGCCATTGCATGCCATTATAAATAGGGTGCTATGGCAAGCATTTAGGCATCTCTCTTGACTTGTAACATAGCAGACATTGTAACATATTACGGCACAGCCAAGACCGTGAATTTTAAACATTACTAAATCTTAGGCGCAGGAAGACCGAAAGGAGAAGACACAAAAAAAAAAGAGTGACAGCACTGAACGGGATGGTATGTGCGTTGTCCCTCTTTTTTTTATCTCCTCTCTGTCCCCTTGCATCTTAGGTTTACTGATGCTATGACATGTTCCAATCAATATACCAAGACTTAGTCATTTCTAAATTAAGAAATATAACATGCAAAGCATACTGCAAGATCATAGGCGTGGACAGGGTCCTCCTATGGGGGGGGCCAATTTCACTGCAGCGCCCCCGCCCCCCCCCCCCCAGTCTCACCGAGACCCTTACGCCGTAGGGGTAAGGTGTTCTAGTGTACCCTAGTAGGAGTGCACTAGAACACCATATTTTAACCGCGAAATATGACTTCCAAGTTTACTTCATTGTCACCATAAAACTACCCTTGAGTTTACTTTTCTGCAGATTACTTGGAAGTCTAATTATTGCGGCTTACGAATGGAGCCCGGAGAATGACAAGGCTTGAAATATGTTTGAACCCAAAAATGAAATCTGAGCAGTGACACCAAACATGACGTAATGCCACAAAACGTCATACTTGCCACTGTTACGTGTCATTGTATCCATTTCCTCGTAGACCGCAGCAATTAGATTTGCGAGAGCTCTGCGTGAAAGTGGACTTACATGCGCTTTGAAGTGTGGGAGAAATGAGAAAATAAAATAACTTTTCTAACAACAAAAACGATTTATTGCCAAACAAAAGTGGAGACCTCCACGATAAAGAAACCACAGCTTGCACTCGTAGGGCTCAAGCGCCATCACAAAACACAGAAAGAAAATGAATCGCACGAGGGCTCAGACGATACACAATTTCAATTCACAAACGGTAGACTCTAAAAAAAATTTAACACAACGCAACAACAGGACTGGTGCAAATGAAAACAGTAACACACAGTAAAATTAACTACACTTTACAAAAATACTATTCAAGTTGAGCTGTGCAAAAATGCTATTGGTGTGAGAGGCGAACCTTAGTTTGAACGGAATCGGCTGTAAAGCACCCTCTTTCGCCGGCTGTCATTCAATTAAGAATAAAGTAGAAATATGTGACATTGTAGGTTAATGCGATAGCATACCCTGCGAAATTAAAACACATTTATAACAAACATTTGCGCGTTTTAGTCGTAAAATGCTTTAAGATATTATCAAAACTGATGGATGTTGCTATGTCCTGCTCCACAAAGGGCAGCATCAGCCAACGAAGCCGTTCCTGCGACATCGTGGATCTTAACTAGGTCTTTACATGTGCGAGCTTCAAAATTGTCCTTTCGCACGAGCAACTGGTTACAGGAATCGTGGAAAAAAGTTGAAGAGCGCGAGAAAAGTCCTTGAATACTGACTTGTCCAACCGATTTTCTTTGAGTGAATCCAGCCAGTCACAGTCGGTCATGCTGTTTGCTTTTTCGTCGCTGGTTCGGGACTTCAGGAGCCGCATTTCAGCACGCAAGCTGTGGGGATCTACCTCAAAAAAGCTACAAATAAGAGATATTTGTTCGTCACTCGCAGAGAGGCCCAGAAGGTTCTGGACAGCACACACAAGCTCAAACGTTTCTTGTGTGAACCTTTCTTCGATCCCTCGAACACAGGAGTCAAGCATCGAAAAGAAAACACCGACACGAAATTCCTCCTTTTTTGACGCATAGAGACATTAATTCGCCCAGTTTTGGTCAATTCGCTTCGATACCTTTTTTCTTCAAACTTCGTTAATCTCGATTTCATTCATCTCGCAGATCGAAGAAACTTCCGCAAACATCTTTTCAAAAACTGTCCCATCTTGCCTCATCTCTCGCAGCACTTTTCGCAGATGCCTAACTTCATTGAGTGCAGTGGTAAGGTTAATTTTAGGGTCCTGAAGAGCTCGGCTAACCTTCAAAATAAGCTGTAGAATAGGGTGAGCTATTTCCATGCTGCAGACAAAGTCAAAGCTCATCACCTGGGAAAAGAGTCTTTTGCCTTTTGCTTTCGTCTCCGGGTGCTTTGTGGAGTCCACAATCATTCTTACTGCACTCGACAGTTCGCTGTAGCTCTCACGAACGGCCTTTACTGCTTCAGCACGACATGCCCATCTGGTTGTAGACAAAGACTTCAAAGTTTTCAGCTGTGTGCCGACAGTTCGGAAAATTCGCTCAAAACAGTAGGGCGCACAACACTGTTTTCAATAAAGTTGTACGCAAGTTGCACAACGCCAAAGAAATCAAACATCATTCTGTTTTCTGCTCAAGACAAACACGCATCGACAAGCACCAGGTTTAAGCTGTGGGCATAGCAGTGAACGTAGACCAGCTTGTTGTTCTGCTCTTTGCACTTTGCTTGAACGCCAGCAACGTGCCCTTACAAGTAGAAGCCCCGTCAAAGCAGACGGAACTCGCAAAATTCCAGGAAACATTGATGGCGGTGAGAACTGCGTGCAATGTGGAAAACACAAAGTCGCTGTCTATATTTTTAAGCCTTTCGAGAGTAAGGAAGACCTCCACTGGCCTGTTCATAATTTCGCAGAAGTACCTAATAACAAGGGAGAGTTGTTCATGATGACCGCAGTCACTTGTTTCGTCGCACATGAGCGAGACTGTTTTACCTTCTATGGGGTGGACAATCGAAGAAAAAATGGCTGCATGCAGTGACTCTAGGATGTCATTTTGTATTCTGTTGCTGATGTATGAGGCGTTCTTTGGGCCTCACTCTAAGTGGCCCCGCAAAACGGGGTCGTACTTCTTTAAGATATTAACTATCTCTAAATATAGACCTTGCTCTGCGCTTTCATTATTTTCACTGTGCCCTCTGAATGGCCATCCTCCCTTTGCGAGAAGAACAACGATGTCAGTAAGGCTCTTTAGCACCTCACGATTCTGTTTTCCTTTTCCTTCAACTTCAGATGCTCGTCGTTCAAAGCTTTCATCCAGCATTGAAGCAATCGATTTGTTTGCTTTAGAGCAATTCCATCACATGACACTGTTAAGATGGCCCTCAGACCTTCCATGCTGATTAAACCTTTCTATTGCTTTCTTCCAAGTTCGAAGCCCAGTTCAAACAAAGGATGGGTCTAAATGTGCTTTCGATATACCACTCCTCGGCGGAAACGCCCGACATCAAAAGCAAAAAGCTGCATCTTTTGCTGGACTGTATTCAAGCCAGCTGAACTTTTCAAACCAGTGTTCGCAAAAGCTGCGCTTTCGATTATTCATTTCTGTTTGGGCATAGCTGCCTAGATGAGGCTGAAAAGGACCCCGTGCTTGCCTGGCTTGCTTGTCCAGGTCGCTAGTCGGCATTGGCAGCGACGGGTCGTCGTCAGACACCTGGTTCTGGTTGGCGGAAAACGTTGAGCAAAATCTCGGATGCTCATCTGGTGCATAACGATGTGGCTTGGCGTCGTGGCACAGCTTGGCGTCGGCACACAATTTGGCGTCGTGGCACAGCATGGTGAAGTGGCGCAGTCGTCAGCTTGCTGGTGGCTGAACATCTTTTCCGGTTCATTTTGTTCATGCTGCTCTTTGCAGCTTGTTGACTGTCCTGCAAATAAATAAGAGAAGTATAACTTTTTAGTTTTCTTTTTATCTGTTAACATGGCGCTTAGAACACGCTCGAAAAGAAGTCTGAGTAAACAATTACAGGACCAACTGCGCCAATAATAAATATATATTCCTGGAAATTTTACGACAGCTTTCTCATCGACAGCTCAGCGTAGTCTCTCCAAGCTAACAACAGCAACCGCTGCTCGGAGGCGAGCCAAACACAGCCTGCTGATTGTGTTTTCTACGTTTTAACGTAAACAACATTTTTGAAAAAACTAGGTTGCTAAAAAGCTAGTTTTTTTATGTCGGTGACGTTAGTCGCGCTAGAGTTACTAGTCTGGCCGAGGAGCACTACCTTCTTTGTTCATCGCGACAGAAGTTCGCGCCCTTTTTGTATAGTTAATAATTTCTAGAGAGATAATCGTGCACAGAGCGTATACACGACTCAAACATTTTAAGACTGCGTTTTATTAATGGTGAGCACTGGCGCTGGGCACGGAAATGCCCCGAGTTGCTGAGTACGTCGGTGAAGACAGACGGGGCTCTAATAGAAACGTTGCTAAATTTGTTAGACGCTTTTTCTTTTGTGAGGACTTAAACATTCATGAGTGGGTGCGTCTCTCACTCTCTCTGTTGCCTTCGTTCGTGAGGCACTTCATTCACCTCAACAAGATCAGTCATTTTGCTCAACGGGGTCCTGTTAAGGTGCCACTCTATCATCTACGAACAGACTTCTTAGAATGATACCGACACGTGCTGCTATATCGAGACTTCTAAGGAAAAGGATATGAATAATTTAACCAACTAAACTGAGCTCTGGAATGAATTTAATTGTGCCTTCACCAGCGAAGAAAAATACTGCAAGGTCAGTTTACTCGTTTTTTTTTTTCTTGGAAGGATTGCATTATGTGAATGAAACGGCCTCTAGGAAACCTTCGTACAAGCACTGAACGTCCCTTAATTGACTCATCCAATCACCAAACCAGTACCGATGTGCACGGTGGACCCCTTCTTTCATTTCTAATAACTTGCACTGTTCTCTCTTTCTATACTGCTCCGGCAATTTATGGGGTTCTAAAGTAGCGGTGTCGTTTGCATGGGCACTGGCAGGATCTTCTTTCTAATATTTGTCACACATTCAGTTTTAATATGCGGCCACTAAACTACCAGTATATACCATGGAAACGTTCAAAATATTTTCACTATTTGGACACTCAAAAAAACTTCAAATTAATTAATCAGATAGCATGAACGATGTGAAATGACAGAAATCTGATATTCGTCCACCCGATTAAGTTACCAAGCTTTCACCTAATTACGAAATATAAAGGCAATGTCTCAATGGGTCCGGCTACCAGAGGGCCAGTACTTCTGAGGACTGTCCTGCGAGTTTGGATGCAAGCAAGTTGGTCGTTCAGCTCGATCACCAGGTAGACGGACTTACCTACCTATCTCAACAAGCTGAAAGCCAACCTGAAGGCTCCGGCTCCTTGGAATCGCCGTGCACTTTGTTATTTCTCAGGATTCATCATCTATAGCATGCAAGCTGCCTGCCTCAAATGTTTTAGCTATTGGCTCCATTCAACCACCTGCTCTGGAGAAATGTGAAATAGATGTGTGTATTAGAGGAAGACGACGGCTTTAACAAGGCAAAGCAGACACTGCTGCGTCAGGCTCTTGGTGTATCGCAACCACACTGAGGAACTGATCGTGAATGTGCCACACCTCCAGAGGCAGTTGGACCAGTGTCGTCACACAACATCTACGGAGTCAAAAGGCCCATAGGAGGTTAACCTTCTTCCAAGAATTCCATGACACATGCATGCCTATCAACGGAATGAGGTAAGGCAATGGATAATGCCGTACAACCTTGAACAATATGCCAACAGGCTGCATTAATGCCACCAGAAGCGGAGCCGCAAGCTTGGCCAGAACCCACGGTTCCATGGACAAGAATTTACATGGACTGCCTTGCACCTATTGAAGGTAAAACGGAGCTAATTGTGGTAAACAGTTACCAAGATTGAAAGAAACCACTGGCATCAGCAGCTAGCCAACTCCACTGCAACAGTCGAATATCTGAGGAACACGGTCGCCTGGTTAGGACTTCCTGTTTGCTTGGTGTCCAATAATGTAATACCATTCCCCGGCACGCTGTTTACCGAGTTCATTACTCAGAATGGAATTGGCCACCTAAGGACTGCACCTAACTATCCACAGTCAAACAGACTTCCCGAGAGAGCTGTCAGAACGATCAAGGACAGTCTAAAGAAACTCTCGGGTGGTTCTTTCGCCGCATACTTGCCAAGATGGCTCCTTGTGTACCGTCGCACACCGCCTACCACAGGAGGACAATCTCCAACAGGGCTCGCGTTCAACTTTTGTCCTAAAGTTTGCTGCATGGACCTCATCACTGAGACCCAGGAGCCAAAGGTAGACCTGGAAAGACCTAGCATCCTCAAAGAAAGCAGCCCTGTTTTTGAAAGAAACATGGGAGCTGTAGAACAATGGGGACCAAGATCATCTTCCAGGTTGTCGAAAACTGCATGACTTTGGTAAAACCCACCATGGCACAATGAAGCACCACCTGGACCAGTTGTGCCCCAGACGCTTTAACTCAACTCGTTTTAGTCAGATGATGAAATTACCACTGGGCACTAACTTGATTGGCAGTTAACAAGTGAAAGAACCAGGCTTTGGACCAGGAACTGAGCATGCATTTTAAGCAGTGCAAGGATGCCCCACTCAGGCACGGACGACACCAACCAAGATGAACCTTTAGCTTGTGCGGCAAAGTGTTGGATCAGGCCACCACCAGGGGTCAGTGTTTCTGGGGGTTTTCCTGTGCAACGGCCATGGGCTTTCTCTCTTTTCCCCCACTTTCCAGTGACCATGTAACAAACATGTATGACACGGCCATGTCAATTATTCCCTAATAAACAAATAGGTATGTTCCTTGCACTCCATGGATGAAGCAGCCACCAACAATTTCAACATTGGTCTGTATGGAGTCACAAAAAAGGAAATAAAAGAACTCCTGACACACAACTATTCTTGATGCATGCACACAATTGGCCAGCAGCTTCCTTGCAACATCCTGGGCACAGCAACAAAACCCAGACCTTACACCTGTTACACTGAGTACGAGCGTCCGACAAAAACTAACTCACGGAAAGGAAAAGGGCGGCAGTTAGGTCTACTGCAAACAAACTAACACACAGATATCTGACAATAATTAAGTCTGCAACTACAATGACATAAAATGAGACAGACCCAAAAGCTGCAACCGATGACCATGGAGGGGACATGGGTCTCGTGCCTCTGCAAGAAAAAACACAGAAACTGCAAAATTAAAATAGGCAAGTGGATAAACCAAAAGGGTCGGAGGCAAAGCATAGGCTCCCAGAAGCGTAAAGGTGCTGCACGGTGAAGGCTCACATGGAAGGCTCATGAAGTAAAGAGATCGCTTGCAAATGTCTTAAGCAAGTGCAGAAGTGAAAAACTTGAGGATACAGAAAGAGTGCATATTTCGAGGTGTGCGAATGACACGAGGAAAGCGAACAGAAGAATGACAGGGGAAAAGACAAGCTAACATGGGCAGGAAGTCTCTGCATAGGCTTTCATTCAAGACATCAGGAAAGAAAGTGTAGGCTACAAACATCCACATGAAACAAAAAGGGATGAGTGAAACATAAGCAGTGCACAGCACAAGACGGAGGACAAGAAAAAAAAACATGATACAGAAGAGCAAGTTTGCATGACAGCGAAAACTTCACATAGGCCTACACGCGGAGCAGAAGAAAAAGTGCTCCCCACAAAGAACCGTAGCAAGCGTAAAAAAATTCAGAGGCTTCATGCAGCCATACGCACAGAGCACAATAAAAAGAAAAGCTTCCCACAAACATCTGAAGCAAGCGTAAAAGTAAAAGAATATTCTGGGACTTCACTCAGGCCTACATGCAGAGCATAAGAAAAAGAGCTTCTCACAAAGAGCTGAAGAAAGTGTGAAGAAAATTGAGCGGCTTCACACAGGCTTACACACAGAGCACAAAAAAAAACCAAGCTTCCCACAAAGAGCTGAAGAAAGTGTGAAAACAATTTAGAGGCTTGACGCAAACTTACACGCAGAGCACAAGAAAAAGAAAGGATTCCCACAGACATCTGAACCAACCATGAAAAAAATCCAGAGGCTTCATGCAGGCTTGCATGTAGAGCATAAGAAAAAGAGCTTCCCACAAACATCTTATGTGCGAGCGAAGGCAAAGCTGGAAGCGCGAGCACGAAAGCTCCGTTCGTTCAGGCTTTGCTCGAGCGCGCGAGCTGGGCAGAAACGCAAAAAGCGCTGCTCTCGCGCTTTTAGCTTTAGTTTCGCTCGCAGATAAGGTGAAACGAAGTATAGTAAGCGTAAAAAAAATTCAGAGGCCTCACATAGGTTTACAGGCAGAGCCTAAGAAAAAAAGCGTTCCACAGACTTATAGACGCTTTACACACGCGCCAAATTACAGCCACCATTGCTGACCTTCTGTTGTCTTACCGAGATGCCGAGCAACTGAAACGGTAATTGACGATCCTCTACAGTGGCCGATGCTTTAAAAAAGGACACAGGTGAATCTAATATGGCAATAACCTGGCCTGCTATGGTAATGATGAAGTGAAATAAACGAAGTAAGAGGAAACAAAAACTGAAGGTCAGTTATGGCGGCGTCCATGCACAGCTGCTGCAAAGCGTCTATAGCAAGCGTAAAAAAATTCAGAGGCCCCAGGCAGAGCACAAGAAAATGGGCTTCTCACAGACCCATAGCAAGCATAAAAAAGTACAGATTCTTACAAGCACAGCATAAGAAACTTCCCAGAAACATGTGTAGCAAGCATAAAAAAATGCAGAGGCTTCACGTAGGCTTACATGGAGATCACAAGAAAAAGGGCCTCGCACAAACAACCGTTGCAAGAGTAAAAAAAATTCAGAAGTGCCTCGGTAAACAAGGAATGCAACAAATGAAAGCTGCCCTTAACACAAAGAAGAGCGCAAAGTAAAAACAAAAATGAGAACGGGACAACAGTTTCATCAACTAAGGCAATCTAAAACACTAATTCCTTCTCCGAGGTCCTGCCATCCACTTGCTGCCGAAGTCCCTGCGTTCAGCTGCCCCAGCCGCCAACTCGCGACTTTTTTCCCGAAGGAACACTTGCAGCCGTGCATGGCAGAATCGCCTGATGAGCTTCATTTTGATTTCATGGCAGTCGGGCAGCTGGACACATTGGCTCGCTGCCGCCATCCTCGCCGATAGGCCGTCCAGGATGCCCCGTGCATGCATCAAATCCGCAATGAGGCTGCGAAAGACACTTCCACAAGTTGTGAAGAGGGCGCGTGCAGCTTCAGAGGGGCAGGTCATAGCGTCAGGGACATAATTCTTTAGCCTGAGGAGGCTATTTGCAGGTGCCATGGGGACTTGAACAGCTGCAGCACACGTGTCACATGTAGCATTATTTTTTACAACTCTTCGTACCACATAACCGCAGTAATAGTCAAAGCTATTCTCCTCAGGTTGTGACATGGTGAGTTCTACCTCCTCAAGAAAAATGTCGGTGGGCACAGCAGGTTGTACATCCAAGTCTGCGAGGTAAGCCAGGTAAAAGGAGGCATCGTCCAGTTCGTAGGACCCTGCCTTGAGCGCCTTGAGGTACTGCGAGAGTGTGATTTTCAAGGTCGTCTTAAACTCCAAGAAATTGGGATAGGGTTACCCTGTCGCACTACCCAAAAAAAGTTTTCATGGCAGTCGTGCGTGAATCTGGATGTGAGCACGAATAAAAAAGAGTGTCTCTCAATGAGACTTTGCTGCAGGTCCAGAATGGACTTGGTAGAGAGGATTACCCCCGCCTGCACTGGCTTGAACGCCCCATCCCCAATAGTGAGGTGGAGAAAAAGATCCTTAAATTTGACCAGAAAGTCAAGGGTGTTCTTGTAGCAGGCCTCATTTTGCCTGCTGATTGCAAGGACTGGGTGCCTGCTGCTCATAAGATCAAACCATTTGTTGACCTGTTCCAAGAACCAAGCCGTGGTGAGGAAGTTGGTGCTCCAGCCATGATTCTCCACCAGGAAGCGCAGGGCAGTGGCCGTGGAGTGACTGAGGATCCGTAAGGCAGTGCTCACCTACAAACACGGAAATGCTCTAGATCATCAAGTGTATGCAATGTTTGGTAAACTCGACTGAAGGAATCAATGATTTGAAACTTCCCCCTCAGTCAATTAAAGGACAGCATGGGCACTAAACGAAGAAAAGGCTGCTAACTTCCATTCCTGTTGTCCATACGAATGGTTTTTGCTGGTTTTTTACGAGTTTTTGCCACACTCTTAAAGTTGGCAGTGCCACTTCATGAGCAAAACATTTTTGCTTTTACATTAGCAATGGTGATGAATACCAGCACTGATGTAAAGTACACTCCATGGTTACTTCGGTAGCTGTGCGTTGCTAAAAGTGCCACCGACTCCGATTTGTGAACCACTGACTGATTTTGTTGAAAACACTTTAAGGGAAGCTAAAGAGGTGCTCCAAAAAAAATGAGTTAGAGGTAAATTCTTCCGTATTTGTATTCTACAAATTTGAATATGCACTATTTGCTCAAGAAGTATCACCCAACGCAAAGAAATATTTAAAAAATTCACTCGGCATAATGTCACGTCAAGAACTTTCATTTGGCCACCGAAGCTGAAGCACCATCTCTCGTACAGTGTTACGGCACATGTGACCAGCCTTGCGGAATGCAGCGCTTTTTTATTCACGTGAAATGGTGCGTCATCTGCTACAGACGCCTAGTTCCCGCTACAATCTTTCACGCCTGACCAACATCCGCTAAATCTTTCATGAAAGTTTATAGGTGTACTAAACTTATGTCAAAACAAACAGGCGAGCGAAAATCGTGAGCATGAGGTGAATCGCACACAGTTTGTCGACCTCTCAAATAAGCTTGCAATAGCTGCAGAGATTCCGAGGATCCTTGTTGCGACGCTGCTGTCTCTCAGAAATTTCCTTTTTGCTTCTTACACCTCGGGAGCGCGGGGCTTCAGCGCTATGGTCAAAATGCTTTGATGGCTACTCCGGGCCTCAAATTGACAAATAATTTTAATATTCGTGATACTGGAGGCCATGTGAAGATGATGCAAGTGTTTTTAAAGGTACAAAACCGCTTTAGTTTCCCCTTAAGCAAGCACGTGCGAATAACGAATTTTATGTTTCAAGCGAAAAAGAAGCTAATAGTGACTTGGGTCGAATAATTTCGAATCGCATATTGAATTCTTGCTGTGCCTTTCTGATACTGCCATTGCGCCCAGCTTCCGCCATCTTGACAGTGTTGATGTCAAGATGGCGGAAGGTAGCTTAGCTTAATGGAAGCTAAGCTAAGCTAGCTTCCGGTCGTGTGTAACTAGCTTAGCCAGCCACAAACAAGGTAAGCTACATGCTAACTTAGCTTAGCACTCTTACCTTAGTACACATTTTTCAAAACATTATAGTATTTGAGTGATGGATGAGTGTGAACGTGTATGAATAAATAGTCATTTAAGATATGATATGAAGACTATCATACCTAAAACACCTAATATCAAGGGGCACACAGTAATCCACTGAAATGAGGTTAGACGAGAGTACTTTTGAGTATGTTTTGTTCACGTTCTCAAGGATGTGCGTAAATTCTGCAGTTGTTAATCGAAGCAACAAATGAAGCTTGTAATTTAGTTCTCCTTGTCAACAGCATTTTTCCTGTAGAGATAGCTTTTTAGTGCACAAACTCAGCATGTGAGCAATGATTATACTTTGTAAAGAAAAATCTAGCTGGTTTCATTTAGGCTATTCTCAAGTATCTGCCTACCCACTGCCAAGGCTCAGTTAATTCTGATCTAAATTACTGAATGACTCTCGCGTCAAATAAATCAAGGCCTACATGGAGATTGTAAGTAGATGAGAGATTCGTCAGTCCTCTTGCTATACCCAAATATTTGTTTTAAATCTTAGACTAAAGAATGATGAGCAATGATGCACACAGCTTGACGGTACCTCAGTTGTAGAGTAACAAATATTCATGGTAAAAGCCAGTTTTTTTTTTTTGCCTTGAGGTAAGCACTCATAGTGACCAGGAACATGAACAATCATCACGCTACATTACAATGTTTTCCTGAATTCGTCGCACACGAGCGTGACCTTTTCTTCTCTGGAGGTGTGCCTTCCACTTAATGCACAATCGCAGTGCCTGCGAAATACGCACGATCACGGTGTTTTCTCTGTAAGTGTCGCTTCTCCACAGCGCACCGGTGCTCGTTGAGAAGCGCACTCAACCGCGCTAACTCGCTGCAATCGCGACTTTGCCAGCACTTAGAGACTGTGCACATCACCGAACGAACGGCACGCGGCCAACTCAAAGCACCAAGGGCAACTGATAAGAGCGCTAGAGCGCTCTCGACATCACAGGACACACACGATTGGTAGGTGAGATGATGACGTTTTATTCTAGTAGGGCCGCGCCAATCACGGGCTGCAGATTAGACCTACCTTCCACTACATTAATGGGACGCTTAGTACCTGGGAATGGTGACTAGAATGACGTCACGTGAGAACAGTGTATAGCCATAGGCTGGGGGTGGCAACATGTGCAGCATGTGCTGAGCTGTAAACAATGTTTCATTTTGGCCATTCGTGTGCAGAGATTAGTCATGAGCTGCCCAAATGTTTGCCGAGGCACTTATTGTCACGAGCCCAAGTCAAGTGTTCATGCAGTGCTCGTATGGAATCCATAAGCCTCATTCGACTATCATCACCACAGGGTGCTCTCCTAGACACCGTCAGCATAATTACCTCCATGGTCGCATCAGCAAGGTTACAAAAATTGGAAGTGAAGGAAACACTCCCCCTCTAAACTTCAATTGACATCTCGACGCGTGCAAGATACTGAGGTCAGACGAGTGCTAGTATGCCTGCGATGAGAGAATCATTCCAACACAATATCAATAATCTACCCCTTCATACCACACTGCAACTAAGTGAAAAATGAAGCATGACACCAACTCATCATTTAAAAACAAATTGTGTAAAATACAAAAACACTACAGTTACTAACAAGGATATTATATCTGCAAATAATCAACAGGGAGCTTTGAAGCACTTGAGTAGCCTGACAACAAACTTGCCTTCAAGCCGCCGCCCTAGAGTTCTAGACGACGGCAATGGGAAGCTCCCCTCCAGTAGCAAGTCGTAGCCCGTGCTGCCACATGCAAATCGCATCTGCAGCGACTTCTTCACCGTCTCATTAGACCACTTGGACACCCGTTGCTGGATCTCGATAATGCTGCCAGTTGGTCCGCAGTGAAGATCTTGTGCAAGTGAGACCGGAATGTCGCTTCCCTTGTCTTTTGTAAGGCAGCCTGCCTCACCAAGCGACGATTCTCGTTCTCCAGCTGCTTGATCTTCCGACTCATCTGAAGAAAGACATCTTCAGTGAGCCTAGGTGAAACGGGTAATGGAGAAAGAGGCTGCAGGGTTCGCTCAGAGGTCTTGGCCGCTGGTTGCCTCAAACACGGTACGAGAATTGGGTGTTGCCAACCTCACGAGATCACTCCAAGCAGTGCAAGAACCATGACACATACCCAGCGGGTGGAGGCCGCCGACAACAAGGTGCCGCGGGCAGCTACGCTGGCCTGGCAGCGCTGGTTGTCACTGGTCACCTGCGGCAAAGAGTGCGGTGGTATTGCTACACGTGGGTACGCAGGACCCTGGAAGATGCTTACGAAGCACGTCCTGCTGGTGGTGGGGAGCGGCTGCGTGAGCAGGCCGCCTTGCAATGCTGCTCCAGGGGTCCTGGCCGCTGGTTGCTGCAAACACGGTACGAGAATCCTCGCTTTGCAGAAATATGGGTTCGAGAATAAATGGACTTGTCGCCCTTTCTCTGTTTGTGCTGGCCGAGCGGAGGGACGAAGGCTTCTTTGTATTTACCTCGGGGTGAAAGTTAATCCTCAAGGGGGACAAAAGTGGTTTTGGGGGAGCTCCATCTAGGTCACTGCGACACAATAAGCCAACGGGACGCAGTGGACGTGCCTGCGGCCAGGGAACTCTCGTCTTCTAGCCATGTACTCTCGAACCACTAATTCTGCAAATGGTCCATTGGTGTTGCCCACCTCACGAGATCACTCCAAGCCATGCAAGAACCATGACAGATACCTAGCTGGTGAGGCTGTCATTGCATTACAAGGCAGCTGAGAGTGACGAATGCCTCATGCATTAACTTAACAGAAGCAACAGAATATGAGTTATTGAATTTTGACTTACATTCCCATGAAGCGGGGTTTTGTGCTGTGTCAGGCTGCAACACTGACTGATGGTGTCCCACGCACTCTTGCATAAGGACCACTCCGATTTAAAAAAAAGGTCTCTGGCATGGAACAGAGATGTCAACAGCATACCAAGTCCACATTATTATAGGTCACCTGTGCCTCTTTCAAATCATATCAGTAAAAACATATTAACACAAGATAAATTATTGCTTTTAATTCACTATCATAATCTAGGTAAATACCAAAAGAACAAAAATCTCACTTATCCTCGTTACACGCACTCACTTGACTTTCAGATCTGAAAACAAGCTTGGAACAGCTGTGGCTGTCTGTCTCCTCCAGCCGTCAGAGCACCTCTACTGGAACTGGGAGGGCTCGAAGTGGTCCTGCACCGAATAACGTTTTGGTAGACGTCAAAACTGTGTATTCAGCCGCTCAAGTCACAGTGCAGTTATTCCTTTGACGAGAGGCTCACGCTTTCAAAATACGCGATCTTACAAATCCATCATCGCACGACGCCACAGGCCTGAACCACTCGTCTTTCTGCAGTGAAGCGAAAGCGCACAGGACGCTTCCACGGCAATAGAGAATATATCACAAAATGCACGGTTTTGTCACAGTGCACTTGCGTCCTCCGTGCTCGCGTCACAATATTAACAATGAACAATACCTCACCTCGCAAAGGTACGTCCTGTCGGGAGGTTTCCACCCCGCGCCACGCTTGATTCCTGAAAGCCACAGTTTCCGTCTCCTCGGGGATTTCGGCAGCTTGAACAAGTGAATTCCCCTGGAAGCTCTGTTCCGGCACCTCG